TATTATTTCTTATTGTGTCTACGACATTTGCATTAATCCTAGCACATTTAGCATGGCATTGATTAAGACAAAATCAACAGGTAGCACACAATTCCTCCTCTGCAACGAGATATTACACAATTCAAAAGAGCACGATATTTTATTTATTTTAATTATAATTATTTCTTTTCTAATTATACAACTATATTTCTTAAGATCAGATTTGAAATTGAAATTTTTTATTTATTTATTTTATTTTCTTTTTTTAATGTTGGCAATTTTTTTTGAGATGACAAACTAAGCAAGAAGATATGTTATAACAACTAATTAGCTAATGTAACAAAAGAAGCATGATAAAGATAATATAAAACTATACAATTTAAAAATTGATATTAGTTTAAGCAAAAAACAAGCTTTAAAACACTACACCAAATACAATTAAACACTTTTAGACACTTTTTATCAAATTAATTAATTTAATAAAATATATAATCAATATTTTTCTCAAAAGCACGGAGCATCACAATTTTTTGACACTAATCACGACAGGGATACCAACTGTATCATCATCAGAGATTGCAGTGAATTTTTGAAAGAGTGTGAATGACAGAATTCACGTCGTGAAAACTTCACAGATATGCAACAATTGCTTGTCATCAAATCACGGAGTAATGGATTGCAAAAGTCGCTTTGGATGCCGTATTTGTACTATGAGACACAATACTTTCTTACACTAGGGAACGGTAACCCAAACAACAAATACATACCTAGCTCGAGTGGAAGCACAACCTAGTACTAGTGCTGCCGCTCTTACAAATCAAATACACTCCACTACAAACCTAGAACCAACTACTATTACTACTTTAACCCTCCAAGATAAGCAAATGAGTGAGCGACAATCTGGAGAAACGCTGCTTTTCACAACAATAGTACAATTTTAAACCTAAGGACAACTTTACGATGCCCGAGCTCTAATAGACTCTGGATCACAATCCACCTTTATCTCTGAAAAGATGAAAATCTTTTTGAAGTTACCTACACGAAATAATTTAGTTCATGTCCTTGACTTAAGTCAATTTTTTTGCAGACTGCAACGAAATCTTGCTTGATCACTATGAGATCCAAATACGACCCTAGCTTTAAACTGGAAGCTTGAGCACCAGTTTTTAAGGACTTATCTTCAAATTTACCACGACAAAACTTATATGAATCACAACTTCGAGATGTAAAAGCATCAGAACTGGCTCACCCAAAATATTAAGCCAGTCAACCAATCGATTTTCCTTTTGGAATGGACATAGGACCACTAACATTCACAATTGGAACTCCGATGAAAACATTTCAATCTTAACACAAAAAACAAAGTTTGGATGGATAGTTGGACGACCCATACCGGGAAGCACCTTTCAACGAAAACAAATATCACTTCTAAACACAACTTTTTTTTTGGAGGTAGAAGAGACCCCTAAAAAAGTTTTACTGTCAGAAGAACACCAATTTTGTGAACAAAACTACACTGGAACAAGGATATAAGATATGTGGTAACTTTCCATTCAAAAAAAAAGCGAAGAATTGGGGAATTCCCGAAACATCGCCCTAGCTCAATTCTACAGAATAGAGAAAAATTTATGAAAACACCCGAGATAAAATAAAAGAACAATGTGATGCCTCAATACTTGAATACCTAGAACTTGGTCATATGAGGAAAATCAATCCGAATAAAATAGATAAAATGCTAAATTATTATCTACCACATCACGCTGTGATAAAACCCGATCGACTCACAACTAAGTTAAGAGTCGTACTTAACGCTTCTAGTCCTTCATCAGACAAAACAAGTCTTCCTACTACAAAATTTTAAAATTAAGATTCTTCAAATATGCCTTCTACGCAGGTATAAAAAAGATGTATCGCCAAATACTTTTGGATTCAAATAAAAATATCAAAGAATTCTCTTTAGAAAGTCTCCATGAGCTGCTAACAATTACATTTGGAGTTAAATATGCATCCTATTTTGCATTGAGAACTCTACTTAAACTAGCAGAGGATGTAAAAGATTCGTTTCCTAGAGCCGTAAACATAATTTTGAATAATTTATATGTTGATGATGCATTAGCTGGCGGCCATACTGAAGATGGTTTCAAACTCATGAAATGGGCGTCAAAATAATTCAAGATATTCCACATGAGCATTTACTACCACTCAATTGGCTAGACATTTTCGAAGATGCTTCTACTAAGACCCTTGGAATTCGATGAAATATCTCGGGCGATTATTTTTCTTTCGCACCATTTTCTATAGAAAATAAAAATGATCTCCAAAACGAGAAGTTTTGTCAATGATAGCCAAATTATTTGACAGATGTGGATGGCTGGCACCGGTGGTCGTCGTATGCAACAAATCGGGCTAGACAAAATTGACCCGCATGATCAATTGAAGCCAATAACTCAAATGAACTGGAACAATTTAGTTAAAAATAGCAAAGATATTGAATATCACAGAGTTTCTCGATGGATCCAATACACGCTAGATGGTTCCCTAGAAATTCATGGATTTTGTGACGCGTCGAAAAGCGCGTATGGAGCCACGGCTATATACTCGGATGGAAAAATTGTTAAATTGTTATTAGCAATACCCAGACTCGAGTTACGCGGGGCAGTATTACTATCAAAATTAGCAAAAATCATTGTAAATAGCCTACAAATATCAAAATATTCAACACAATTTTGGACAGACTCTACCATCGTCTTTACATGTTTAAAAAAGCCTCCTTGTCATTAGAGAACATTTGTTGGAAACAGAGTTTCGGATATTGCTTATAATGTTGGACAAAAAAACTGGAGAGACATGTCGATTCGGAAAACAATCCAGCTGATATTGCAAGCCGAGTATGTTCACCCGCAGAGCTAAAGTCCAATGATATCCCAAAAGACACAAATTTGGAAGCCAAAAGGGCAAAAGTCATGACTCTTTTCGCGGAAAGAGATGATCCTTCAAAAAATGTCTCCTCTTTATCAATCATATGCATATGCCCTAAGACTCTGGAAAAATATTGTTCCTTCAGGTCCTCTATTGACACTCAACCCGTTTCTAGACTCAAAGTGTATTAATAGAACAAATGGCAGATTGGTACAATCGCCAGCCCTTATATATAGCGAACGTCATCCAATAATACTACAACATGGCGCAAAACTTAACAAATTGTTAGTCGTATGGTGGTAATCAATTAATGACCCGAGTATTAAGGTCCGAATTCTGGATATTTGGACTCAAGTCGCTAGTCAAACAAAAAAAGCTATTCTGAAGAGCCTACTTTATTGCTAAATGCTACGAGCCTGTTTGTTTATTCCGCCACTAAGGCTATACATTTTGAAACAAACAAGCCTTTCTTGCCGCTTTTTCTAGGTTCACAAGTCGGCGAGGTTGTCCTTCTTGTATATTTTCTTACAACGGAACTAACTTTGTGGGAGTGGTTGATCTATTAAAGCGAGATCGAATAGCATTCATGAAGAATATTTAAAAGTAGCACAATTAACAATTAAAAACAATTTCACTCAAAATCTTACTTGGAAATTTATTTCGCCTGGTGCTCGGCACATGGGCGGCTTGAGGAAAGCTGGTGTAAAATCATTAAAAATTCATTTGCGAAAAGTATCCCAAAAATGAACTTTATTTTTGAAGAATTTACCACTATTTTAACAAGAATTGAAGGCTATCTCAATTCGCGACCCATGAGTCCTGCTAGTAACGACCCAAATGACTTTTCCCCTTTGACTCCTGGTCATTTCTTATAGGAACATCTATTCTTACTCCAGCTGAACCAGACATTTCACATACAGATCTAAGCTTAGTCAATCGTTGGAAAAGACTCAAAGATATTTCACAATATTTTTGTAGCAGATAGAAGTTAGAATATCTCCACGAACTTCCAAAAAAAACTAGATTTAGAGATTTAGTTGTCGTAAAAGACGATAGGTTGGCTCCGTATGAATGGAAGTTGGGTCTTATCGAAGAAACCTATCAAGGTAGTATTCAAAATACCAGGGTTGTAGACATACAGACGGCAAGTGACAACATTAGCAGACCCATAACAAAAGTTGTCAAATTGTATCCACCTCAGCATTCGCGTGGGATTTGGTATTTGTAACAACAGCAATGGTACGCATAACCCCGAGGGCATGGAGGGCTGTTGTATGCTGCGATGCCATACTTAGCCAATCTGCGACGAAGTCAAAAATTTCATATGCAGCTTTCCGTCGCTTGGATCTTCAGTCGTGGATTTACAAAGGGCAGCGATTTACCACCTTCACCGTTTCGCCCCGCAGCACAAACAGTAATTGGAGTCTGAAAGTAAATAAGGAAATAATCGGAGATCTGCCCAGACGCATCTACTCAGACCCGATTCTAGAAGACCCTACAAGATGCTTCACAAGTTACGCCTTGTCCCCAAGGAAATAATCCGATTGATGTGGAACTGTGAGCGGACGCGTACTTCGCCATAAGAAAAAAATGCACAGCTGCAGGAATTGGTGATATCCTGGCCTACAATACGCAACTGGGCTACATATTTGCTGGGCCAATAATTTAAAAATGCTATAATTTTGCCCAACACTGTTTGTTGGTTATTTACCGGCGGCCACACAAATTACATCAAAACAAAATGATGTAAATAATATATGCACATGCACGTTCTAATGCTGAATTCCAATAAATAAGCATCGTCAACAGCCAAAACTGGTTTAATGTGACAATGCAAATTGGGCATTAGTTAGTTCTCCTTTAATTACAATCGCGATCGCAAGATCGCAAGCAAGTTCCAGAGTAAGACTATCCATCTCTGCTTTTTTTTGTAATTTACCTTGTTAACTTTCACTGAATAAAAAAAGGTTCCCATCTCTGATTTCTGTGTATACAAATGTAAGCATATGTGCTTCTCCAGATGTTCTTCTCCGATATGTAAATAAAGCAAATGGTAAATAAAGCAAATGGTTTTGTAAACTGTGGCCCAAAGAAGTGGAATGTAGATTTTGGTACACGTTTAGGATTTATTAAGTCTAGAATAATTTTCTTTAATAAATAATTGATAAATAATTAATAACCTTTAGTACTATTGTAGAACTAATTTCCAAAAATAATTCAAAATTTCAGGAATTTAACTCAAATGTGGGAGCAACATTACCCGGAATGTTTGCTCCGTATTCTATGGTCCGAGCCCCGGACCATGTTTCTGCTCCGTTTGTAATAATCGCATCCACCACAGATCGGTCTTGGTAAGACACAACGGATGTATGGAGTGGATGCATTTCCTGCTGCGCCAATGTAGACCCCAGTGAGTCTTTATCTTCGTCGCCGTCGCAGCAATCTCCACAACAGCAATTCATGCAGAAGTTGACGCCACACATTTCTGTTCATGTTCCGGACAACGCATCTTTTCTCCAATTCAGCTGTGATAGTTTCTGAGGTAAGATTAAGGAAATTGTAAGCTTCATGAGCAAATTTATAACTCCACGTTTTGCACGGTGAATGAGGACGCACCCACCAAAATAAGGGGAGATTGCCACAGCTCATCGGACATATCCATCCCAGGTTTGACGAATAACGTAACATGGCAATTAGTCATTTCTTTAGGCTCGGACCACTTATTCATATGGTCGCCATCAACAGACCACACGACTTCATAGACTCTGAACGCCGCCCTTTCCTTAAACATGAGCTTCGCCGTACTAGCCCTAATAATCCCAGAGTTAGTTAACTCACTCTGTAAGTAAACAGGTAAGTCGGTGAGCATAAGCGGAAAAAGGGGTAGAACATCTGAGGCATTGCAACATCAGTACCGGATCGAGTAAATTGTTGGCAACGATAAAGTCGCTCTCGATCCCTGGAAAAACAGGGTGATCGGACATTTGTCTCAATTAACGGCGTAGAAGTGACCGATCCAAAAAGGTGTGCGTGTTATTTCAACAAGCAATTTATAGAGCACCCGAGAGTGACAGGGCTAAGAGAAGGATCCTACAACGTGTACGATCTCTCCCAGCCGAGGGGGTAGCACCACAATTTACGTTGGAAGATGTTGCACAAGTCATCAGAAGCTCAAAGTGATCCAAAGTCATTCCGTCATCCTGACGGAATCTCTATGATGATGTTGAAGCAACTGAATGAACCATTAGTTGAGTATCTCACCAAACTCCTCAATATCAATGCCTAGAAAATTGGTAGGGTGGTACCGCTACTGAAGTCAGGTAAGGATGTCAGCAAAAGTGATTCATACAGGCCGATATCACTTTTGTTACCAGTAGCAAAGACGCTTGGGGCATTATCCGTCCCCAGCATAAGATAGTGTTTCCCAAAAGCTGATCATCAACAACAGCTTTACACGAAATTTCCCTAGAAGTCAGGAGGACTCAACCAGAACAGGCCGTGTGACAGAACAGTTATGTGGCAGTTGATCTATCAAAAGCTTTTCGTACAGTCAAACGTGCCATTCGGTTTGAGGTCAAGTTTGAAACGTAGTATAATTAACTACATGTGTGGACTCCAGTCGTACATGGAATTCAGAAACAAGTGAAACAGAGAGTTCCCCAAGGTGGGGGGAACCGTTTAACCTCCACCTTTCTGACATTCCACGCTAACGTAACGTACGCAGATGATTGTACGCTCGTTTCGTACGTCCGCGCATACCACAGCTATCTGCGACAAGATCAGAAGTAGCAACAATGTTCTAAAATCTCTTGCCGGCAGCACTTGTGGAGCTTATAAGGAAACCTTGTCAACCTCTTACAACGTGATAGACCGGTCTGTGGTAAACTATGCGGCTCCGGTATAAATTAACAAAAAATCAGTGAAAAATTATTCAGTCCTGCCGCCGCCGCACAGGCACGTAAGGAAAGACCTTCATGATCTAGAGAGAGATACAGAGGTATAAAAGAGAGCCTCTAGATCCAAAAGGTCCTCCAAATTCAAATTGTGCTAAATTTAGTACATTTTTATACTTTTCGTATACACTTCCAAAACTACTTCCTTACATCGACTCTACTCCTCAACCTTAATTCCCATTCCAAGTGTAAGTTTTTAGCTATAACCATTAACATGATTCAAATTGGTACGGAATTTAGCACATTTTAGTACTTTTCCTACACTTATAGTGTGCATTTCCAAAAACCCTTTGGAGATCTATCTCACACTCCATCAGTGACCCTCATTCCAAATTTAAGAGTTATGGCTCTACTTTTTTTCTCAAATACAAAGGGCACCGTATTTAGTACCGTTAAATACTTTTCCTACCGTTCTAGTACGAGTTTCTAAAAACACAGCCTTATCTGACCCCTTCTGACCAAGAGTGACCCTCGCCCAAAATTTCAGGATTCTAGCTTCAACCGTTTCGTCTGGGCATTGATGAATCGTTAAGTTCGGCACAAGCCGAACAGTGTTGTATATTTGAATATTGCAATATCTCTTTTCCTGTGAAAAGTAGATTCCGTTAAAACATTTTCTTAAAATCTTGGGAAATAGAGAACCAGATCGGAAAATCGTACAATAAGATAGATCTGATTGCAACTTTATAGAAAAGTATCTTCGTGTATTTGTTATTTAATAGATATGAAAACTTTACTAAACACCTTTTGTCTCCTGCATGACAGACCGTGCGTTCAAATTATTTTGGAATGAAGTTGCTTGCGCAAGTTCCTGAGGCATTGATTTTGATCACTCGTTTTTGATAGGATTCGTGGATGCTCTGGAGATGAGTGCCTGGAGATGATTGCTTTGGAAAGCTTTTATTGGCGAAGTTTTTTTGTGCATAAATTAAGCATTCGTCGGCACATAAAATCGGTTGAAAGCCTCGGTCGATATGGATGAAGTCATACAGAAAGATGTTAAAAATGTATGTGGCTAAAACACTTCCATGCGGCACCCCTTTTTGTACTAAACCGTAACAGACGACATGTTGTTGATGTTAATTGAAAACTTTCGTGGATTAAGAAAAAACTTGCCATCAAGTTGACCAGATACTAATTTGGATTAACTCCTTAAGTACTCCTGCGTGACATATGGAGTCAAATGCTTTTGACGTTATATCACTGTGGAGCTTCAGTAGTGCATGTTGTGTGGAATGGCCAGAACCCAAATTGGTAGGACGAGATTATCATTAATTATTATCTTCGCAAATTTCTAATTTTTTTATGAGAAAATTGAAGATTTATTCCAGGCCGCTTGATTTTTGACGTTTGGTGTTATTGATGTGGCGACATAGATGCATGCTGTGCCTCTGGAGATAAGATCGTCTACAGGATTTGTGAAAAAATTGTAGTTCTGGATCTCGGGATCATCCAAATATGAGGAAATTAGGATATGGGCCAAAAATGAGGAATCATTTGGATACGATTTGTGGAACCACGAAGACGTGTGACATCTAGTGGGTTATCAGCCTACCATACATGCAGCGTTTTACTATTAGAATTCTTATGTAGATCACCCCATAAGGTACTTTTTGATAAGTCCGTCTAAGTTTTTTCAAAGTTCTAGCCTTTTCTTTAAAATCTATTGTTTACTGGGATACTGCGGGGATTGTATGCTGAGCCTATGAGGTATTTAAAGGTATTGGTGTTTCTCAATATTTCTTTTTGAATAAACGACATACCAATACTAACGTCGTTTAAAGGCACTCTGGTTTTTTTTTTTTGCAATTTCAGCAGAAGACTGACTCCACAAAAAAAAACTTTCACGAGAGGATGCGTGGACTTAAAGGAAAGGAGTTAACAACATAAATGTTTCCCATATCATTAAATGCTAACGAATGCTATAAATGTTTCTCACAGTCAAAACAGTCAGTTAATGCAATTCGGAATTCATTTAAACTTAATAAAACTGAAGCATATTCCAGGCAGAAATCCGTAAATTGCAGAATTGTTGATGAATCGAACAGTTGAACTGAAGGGACTGGTTACTACATATGTCGAGTCAAGCGGCCCTAAAACCGCTAAATTCATCCACCATCAAATCTATGGTACCATTGGTGAGAAGTGAAGTTTTTATTAAGCTTTGCTGGGTTCTCTCTGGCAATAAAGCTGCAGATGAATTGTCGGGAAGTGGTTCCGAGTCAACTGTTCTAGAGATTGAGAGCTTGGTGAAGCCACCCTTATTCTTCCAGATAATACACAAGCACTTTTCTGGAAAATTTCAGCATAACTGGCAAAATGCAAGAGGCTGTATTTCTCCCAAAAAAATTGGCCGGTGATCTCCGAAAGAACCACTCATGTCCTGACCTAAAACTTTTAGTAGGCTTAATCACAGGTTATTGTAATATTAGGGCCATGACTTCCAAGAGTGGGAAGCGATAGAAACTACGGAACACTTAGTCAGCCAATGTCCACCTCTTTTTAGAGCCAGACTGAATCTCACGGGATTGCAAACTCTGCATAACCTGTATTCACTCTCCAATACTGAGCCGTCGGCAATTCTTCAGCTTGCTAGAAGGCTAAAATGGCTAAAGACAACACAATAAATTGTTCGTGGGTACATCCTCTCTAACATAATCTCTCTCTTCATTTTTTTTCACTCTATCAGGATGCTACAGTTCAAAGGTCATCGTATAGTGAAATACAGATGCAATCAAAACCTAAGAATTAGTACTTAACATTTAGAAATAAGTAGACGAAAGAATTGAGTTGCAAATTGGAATAAATTAATCAAGCGGCTCGCACGTAACTGAAATATCTACCCAAATCAATCGAATATTTTATTTCATTTATTTACCTTACAAAGAAATATAAATAAGCCCACAGGGCCCATAACTTATATTATCTATCTACAATACCCTAACATAATTCAAATTCAATGATTAATTCAAACTTAACAAATAACATATTAAACCTAATAATTTATCGTTGTTGCAAAATGGTCAGGCTTTATCCCTTTATTGTTGTTTTTATAAAACAACGTTTGTTTATTAGTGGAGAACGATGGTAATGTTTACCAGGGGGTAAGGCAGGGAATACCTAGGTTTCGGAAAGAGCCACCAATCCTCATCAGTTCCCTTGTTTTTTTGTCTGGGATATTCTCCCCAGAAGTTATTTTTAAAATAACTTCTATGACAAAAAACATTTTTTACCCAAGAAGAGGAACCAAAGAATTAAATAAAACTAAAATTATTTTGGAAAGTCTTCTAAATCTTACAACCGCACTTATAAACATTTACATCTTTCTCCACTTTTTATGCTTTCGTTCAACCCGAACGAAGTAGCATAACCATGTAAGTTGGTTTTGTCTGTTACAACAAAAACCCCTTCGTCGACCGTGCCTTGTCTATTAATAGAACAGTGTTGGCTTGTTTGTTCGAGATACCGTAGTATTTTGTTGTTGCAAAATTTTACAACAACAAAATACTACGGTATCCCGAACAAACAAGCCAACACTGTTCTAATAATTTATCTTAATAATTCACGAGAAACTCGAACCCTACATCTCGATTCACCATCACCAACTAAACAATAGTCTAGTAGAGCAGTGAAAAAGTGTAGCAGAAACGAGCTAAAAATAAGAGAGAACTGTTTTATTGCTCACTAAAAAGAGTATAAATAGTAACTTACTTTATAACACCCTACAAATAAAATTAAGAAGATAATATAGTGGCTCCCAGCCCAACAAAAAGAAAAATCCATAATAAACCGACGCAACCACTACAAAAACATAGCCTACATATTTAGGCGAAGGTATTCAACTACTTTAACCCTAAACAGATAATTGGTATGGGCAAAAGTACGTAAGGCCAAAGGAAGCTGATCCCACAATCTCACCGCCCTAACCACAAAGGATCTCTCACCAATGAAGGACGAAACCCTTGGACACAACAATTGTGTAATGAAATTGAAGAATACGAAGATCAACGTAGCTGCTAAATGGCAATCCCAGGAGATCATTAACAAAGCAACTTGTATTATCTATCTACAATACCCTAACATAATACAAATTCAATGATTAATTCAAACTTAACAAATAACATATTAAACCTAATAATTTATCGTTGTTGCAAAATGGTCAGGCTTTATCCCTTTATTGTTGTTTTTATAAAACAACGTTTGTTTATTAGTGGAGAACGATGGTAATGTTTACCAGGGGGTAAGGCAGGGAATACCTAGGTTTCGGAAAGAGCCACCAATCCTCATCAGTTCCCTTGTTTTTTTGTCTGGGATATTCTCCCCAGAAGTTATTTTTAAAATAACTTCTATGACAAAAAACATTTTTTACCCAAGAAGAGGAACCAAAGAATTAAATAAAACTAAAATTATTTTGGAAAGTCTTCTAAATCTTACAACCGCACTTATAAACATTTACATCTTTCTCCACTTTTTATGCTTTCGTTCAACCCGAACGAAGTAGCATAACCATGTAAGTTGGTTTTGTCTGTTACAACAAAAACCCCTTCGTCGACCGTGCCTTGTCTATTAATAGAACAGTGTTGGCTTGTTTGTTCGAGATACCGTAGTATTTTGTTGTTGCAAAATTTTACAACAACAAAATACTACGGTATCCCGAACAAACAAGCCAACACTGTTCTAATAATTTATCTTAATAATTCACGAGAAACTCGAACCCTACATCTCGATTTACCATCACCAACTAAACAATAGTCTAGTAGAGCAGTGAAAAAGTGTAGCAGAAACGAGCTAAAAATAAGAGAGAACTGTTTTATTGCTCACTAAAAAGAGTATAAATAGTAACTTACTTTATAACACCCTACAAATAAAATTAAGAAGATAATATAGTGGCTCCCAGCCCAACAAAAAGAAAAATCCATAATAAACCGACGCAACCACTACAAAAACATAGCCTACATATTTAGGCGAAGGTATTCAACTACTTTAACCCTAAACAGATAATTGGTATGGGCAAAAGTACGTAAGGCCAAAGGAAGCTGATCCCACAATCTCACCGCCCTAACCACAAAGGATCTCTCACCAATGAAGGACGAAACCCTTGGACACAACAATTGTGTAATGAAATTGAAGAATACGAAGATCAACGTAGCTGCTAAATGGCAATCCCAGGAGATCATTAACAAAGCAAGAAACATGATCACCACGACACGAGCCATACACGTAACGAACAATCGAATTTACTGCCCTACGGATACGTTGCATTTGAGAAGAAGTAGTACCGGAGACTACCTCTAGACAATAATTTACCTGCGATAACAGCAAGGATACAACCACTCTCTTCCTAACATGAAAAGGAAAATACGCGTTAAGACAATACAGCCTCCGCAGCTGAAACCTTATGCGACAAAGCAAGGTATCAATGTGTCTCTTAAAGTCCAACTTCCGATCAATTATAATACCAAGACATTTCATTTCATCAACAAATTCCACTAACACAACCCACAGAAATATTAAGAGAACCACCATTACCATGATCATTGAACAGCATAGCTTTGGTTTTATTCCAATTAATCATAAGGCCATTTAGCGAAATGCACGATGAAAGAGACAAAACAATAGAATTAACCAACCCTTCCAACCCAGCAATATCAGCCTCTCTGAAGAAAACATGAATATCATCTGCATACAAAAACAGACAACACCTGTCATCAACAACTGAGTGCACAATGTCATTAATGAACATAATGAATAACAACGGTCCCAGTACAGAACCTTGCGGGACTCCACATTGGACACTACAAACTTCAGACGAAACACCCAAATGAACAACAAACTGAGACCTACCTTCCAAATATGAAGCCATTAAACGACACGCAGAAGATAAAAAACCTGTTGGTGCACAATGTATAACCATATCTTGTACTGTATATATATCTACCTTGTTTAGAAATGTAGTAGGTATTGATATGTATACGTGTTTTATATGAAAAAAATATATGTTGTTGTTGCAAAATGGTCAGGCTTATCCCTTTTATTGTTGTTTTTATAAAAACAACGATTGTTTATTAGTGGAGAACGATGGTAATGTTTACCAGGGGGTAAGGCAGGGGATACCTAGGTTTCGGAAAGAGCCACCAATCCTCATCAGTTCCCTTGTTTTTTGTCTGGGATATTCTCCCCAGAAGTTATTTTAAAAATAACTTCTATGACAAAAAACATTTTTTTACCCAAGTGACGAGATCGTAAGCTCAATAGAAGAGGAACCAAAGAATTAAATAAAACTAAAATTCTTTTGGAAAGTCTTCTAAATCTTTCAACCGCACTTATAAACATTTACATCTTTCTCCACTTGTTATGCTTTCGTTCAATCTGAACGAAGAAGCATAACCATGTAAGTTGGTTTTGTCTGTTACAACAAAAACCCCTTCGTCGACCTGCCTTGTCTATAAATAGAACAGTGTGGTAAACATTACCATCGTTCTCCACTAATAAACAATCGTTGTTTTTATAAAAACAACAATAAAAGGGATAAGCCTGACCATTTTACAACAACAAAATACTACGGTATCCCGAACAAACAAACCACACTGTTCTAAAAAAATATATTTTTTCATTCCATTCAAGAACTTAAATAAAGCCGTTTGTTTGATACAAAACCGCTGCGTGTTTCAAACTTTCCAATAGGTTATGGGCCCAGAGGTTACGTGGAATATATCAGGAATTCTAATTCGTCTTGCGAGAATTAATTTAAATCAGTAATTCGTGTTTTTAACGGAAAAATATCGGTTTAGCGGTGGAAGAATCTCAAAAAGTTCATATCAAGAAGCTTAAGACAGCTACGGAATTTTGGAATGTTCTAAAGAAGCACCACGAGAAGTCAAATTTAACAAACAAAGTAAGTCTTCTACGTCAACTGTCAACAAAGAGAATGCAAGGAGGTCAGTCGATGGAAGAAAATATCACGGAATTTATGGATATTGTGGATCGTTTAAATGTCCTTGGTGAGGAAATTAGTGAGCACAAGACGGTGGCATTTTTGCTTGGAAGCCTGCCGGAGGAATACAATTCTTTGGTTTCATCGTTGGAGATGCGTCCGGAGACTGATTTAACCGTGGATTTGGTAAAGGAAAAACTGCTTCAAGAATTTAAACAGAAATCTGAAGCTGCTCCAATGGCTGATACTGTTTTTAAAACGCAAAAGAAATTCAAGCCAAAATGTTTCTCATGTGGTAAGATGGGACACATAAAGAAAAATTGTCCGAACAGAAGACCGAATGTAAGTCGAGCAAATGTTGCGGAGAATAAAGAAAATAAAAATCATTGTTTCGGTGTTACGTCGAAAAGAAAGGAACATAATTGGTTCATAGATTCGGCTGCAACTTGCCATATGTGCTGCGATGAAGGATCATTTTACAGATTGAATAAGCAACAAAATGATTCAATTTATTTGGCTGATGGCACCGAATTAAAAGCAAGTGGCATTGGTGAATGTCGTCTGGTTTGTCAAAACAAAGAAATATGTGTACAAGGTGTTTTGTACGTTCCAGAACTTGATGGAAGTTTATTGTTAGTAAGGAAATTGACAAATGAAGGTTACAAGGTGCATTTTGATTCGGATAGCTGTTCGATATTGATGGATGGTCAAGTTTGTGCTACAGGAAGTTTGAGGAATAATTTGTATATCCTTAATAGTAGTCAAATGGCGAATAAATTGTATTGTGACAAAGCAGAATGCATTCATATGTGGCATCGTCGATTAGGTCACAGAAATATTCAAGCGATCAAGACTACTGCTAGTGAAGGTCTAGCTGCTGGATTGAATATAAAGAAACGTTCATGTTCGTCTGCTTGTGAGGTATGTTTACAATCAAAATTAATAAGAAAGTCTTTTCCAAAAGTGTCAGAAACAAAATCCGAAACTATTTTGGAAATAATTCACGCGGATGTTTGCGGACCAATGCAGAATACAACTCCGAGTGGTAACCGTTACTTTTTAACAATGATAGATGACTACAGCCGATACTGTCATGTTTATTTTTTAAAAACCAAGGATATGGTTTTTGATAAAATAAAAGAATTTGTTGAAATGACGGAAAATCAATTTGGTAAACGAATGAAGATATTAAGATCTGATCGTGGAGCTGAATTTTGTAGCAAGAAAATGGAAGGATATCTAAAATCAAAGGAGATAATTCATCAACTAACTGCTACCTTCTCTCCGGAACAAAATGGTGTAGCCGAAAGAAAGAATAGAAGTTTGATGGAGATGGCTCGCTGCATGTTGAATGATTCTGAAATTCATCACCCTTATTACGGCTGGCGTAGTCGTATCGAAAATTGCAAGTTGATGCGTTGTAACGACTAATTGGTATTATGTGTGTCGTATGCGAGAAATTACAACTCTGTATGAAATTCTGTTACAATTTTCGTACCACAAGACGCGTTTTAATTCGACAAACACTGCAAAATTAGTCGTTCGAGATTTTGTTGCCGACACCACAAAAAAGTTTATCCAAATTGACATTACAAAAGAATAAATAATATACAAAATGGATTTTAATAAGAAGTATGTATCAAAATTACAAAAATATTTGTATGTACATCTTTTTCTAGATTTATAGTCAGAACAAAGATACAATTTGACGAAATGATCCAGATCTTGCCAATTAATCGAAATTTGTCTAGAGGTTACAGCAATGGCTTGATAAAAATTAACATCAAGGAAGAATGGTGCAAAACTCAATATCCTAGGACCGCCGGTTCGAACAGTCGAGGACTGGATAAAAGTCTGGACCGACTACAAATTCAAATTGAGGAAAAAGCTAGTTCATACCAAGATAGAATGTCGTGCTACAGATGGAAGCCCTTCAAGCAGTTCATTTTAAGCGACACGGATGAATCAGCATCACGCTTGTTACAATTAGAGACAATTGTAAATGCAGGAAAAAAAACAATTGGAATTCAACAGCGTCCAACACCTGGTGATCTGGAGACTGAGGAGGAACTGTTTGGAGGGTTTGAAATTAGTGAAGACAAAGAAAATCACAATCCCTGCAAACTGACTTTTCCAAGGGTAAACAGACTACACCGAAATACGCAACAGAAGCAGGATGTGGTCATCCAGGATGTCTGTACGCTTCCCTCTGTAAGCAAAAATAACCCGCATTATTTTTCGCCTCAATTTTAAATCATTTTGAATATACTCATCTTCATCCTCAGTTAAAAAATTGCCATGACTTAACATATTTCAATATTTAATTAAACAAATAATCGTTTTACTTCAACCATTTCATCTGACGCTTTTATTTCTTTTAACCGGGTAGCTCGTAAATTCAAAAAATGTGTATTATTCCAGAGCACCCTGCATTGTCATATCTATTACAAAAAAGACGTAGTCGAAAATTGTACATAATACCAAAAATTTCTAGTTACGACAACGCCTACGACTACGTCTACGACACTTGAACGCCTACGACAACGCCAACCATAATAAGGGTGCATGTAAAATTTTGGACGGTAGCTGTGAACACAGCAAATTATGTTCAGAACAGGATTCAAACTTCCGTTGCAAATGTTACTCCTTTTTCACTATGGTTCAACAAAACACCAAGCTTAAGTCATATCCGAATTTTTGGATCGGTTGCATACGCACATATCAACAAACAAAAGAGAAGAAAGTTGGATAATGTTGCGGTCAAATGAAATTTGGTTGGCTACTGTCATGAATCGAAAGCATATCGTTTACTCAACACTAAAACGAACGCTATTGTTATTAGTAGAGATGTGGAATTTATTGAACCAGTCTGTCGTCACAAGGGTTGTGATTTAATTGAAGTTGAAAGAACGCCAGAGAATATGGTTAGTGTACACTTGGAATTTTCTAATTCTGATATGAGTCTGCAGATGAAATGCTTTCTACATCATCTTCTGATGAATCACAACGAGAATTTCATGAAAATGTTGCGTCAACTCACACTACTGAAAGAAGAGTTTCAACAAGAACGAACAAAAGCGTCCCGCCTAAAAGATATGGGTGTAAACTTTCCTATGACCGTCTGAGGGAACAGGTTTTCCTGGGGGAGGATCCTTCCAAGTTACAGTTTGGCAGTGCGACCGTCTACAAGGGAGTGAAGGTCATCTGCTGCGAAAATGAGGAGTCAAAGAACTTCCTCGTGACCGCAGTAGCTGGCCTTCAGGAACTTTGGGATGGAAGTGCACTTGCTGCTGTATCCCTGAAGGATATCCCCTGCAGGAGGATTTTAACAGCATGGGTGCCGCCGCCCTCTGTGGACCCGGCACGCGTGCTGATAATATTGGGGAAGCAGAATCCCAATCTCTGCACGGACGGCTGGCGCTTAGTTGGCTCAAGTACGGAGGGAGGGGGCCTGGTCATAAAAGTCTCTGTTGATACTGCTGGCCAGGAATACCTTCAGGCTCGTGGAGGGAAGTTGCACTTCGGCACAGGATGGATTCGGTTCCGTCTAACGCCGTCGTCGCAGTAGGAGAAACGAAGCCACAGCTGCTTAGCATTGTGCAGATTAACCTGCATCACTGCAAGGCAGCTGGGGCTGAGCTTCTCCTATCCCTCTCCAAGCTTGAAGTTGACATAGCCCTGGTCCAGGAACCTTATATTTTTAAGAATAAGGTAACTGGGCTAGGGAGTGAGCGGTACATCACCTATGCCACCTCCAATGGGGAAAAGGTTAGAACGTGTATCGTCGCAAAGAAAAACTTAAACTTAATCTTCCTTAACAATTTCAGCGGAGGAGACGCCACGGCGGTCAGACTGGAGACTAGGACGGGCAAAACACTATTCCTCGTCTCCCTGTACCTTCCCTTCGAGCACCCCGACCCACCAGGCCAAGTGGTAGAGGAGCTGGTCTCAGTACTGGGTGGAAAAGGCGGACTCATCATTGGATGTGATGCAAACGCTCACCACTCTCAATGGGGCAGTAGTAACACCAATGCCAGAGGTGAGTACATTTTTGATTTTATCTTATCTCATAATCTCAAAATCTGTAACCGGGGAAAGGAGGCGACTTTTTGTATTAAGAATAGAGAGGAGGTCATAGATCTCACTCTCACTAACATGGATGAATCACTTATACTGAACTGGAAAGTTTCGACTGAGTGTTCCTTCTCGGATCACCGGAAAATAACATTCCAATTTTCGGTAGAGGGATTGAATCAAAAACCGCATAGGAACCCGAGAAGGGCTCGATGGAATCAATTTGCGGAGCATACCGCACGGATGCTTAAGTCCACTGGTGATTTTCCAGTGGCCTCGGCATCGGATGTGGACGACTCCGTCAAGTTGTTAACAAAGATCCTGATCGGCAGCTATGAAAGAGCCTGTCCGCTAACCTTCCCGGGTAAAAGGCACCAGCCTGTCTGGTGGTCGAAAGACCTAGCTCAACTCAGGAAGACTAGCAGACGATTATACAATAAGGCCAACAAGACCAAACTGGGTACGGACTGGGAAGCTTATAAACTAGCCTTCAATAAGTACAACAGTGAGATCAAGAAGGCCAAGAGACGGTCTTGGGTGTGTTTCACCGAGTCCATAGATGATGTCAACGCAGCCTCCAGATTCCGTAGAGTACTTTCAAAGGACCCAAAATCCATTGGAAGTATAAAGCGGGCTGATGGTAGCTGGACTGACTCAGGTTTAGAGACTCTCAATCTATTAGCCAGTACTCACTTTCCGAACTGCTCTGATGCGGTATTTGACCGATTGGCAACACGGTCTAGTCAGCATAGTGGGACGGAAGATGTGAATCTGACTAATAGTATTGTTAACACCCCCAAGATTTTGTGGGCCATTAACTCATTCAAACCTTTTAAGTCACCGGGTCCAGATGGCATTATCCCCGCCATGCTACAGCATGCGTCGGCGGAGATAATACCAGTCCTGGAGGTGATATTTAAGGCTTGTTTGCGTCTTTCTCACATCCCACTACTGTGGAGGGAAGTTACAGTCACTTACATTCCCAAAGCTGGGAAGCCAAGTCATGTTCTTCCAAAAGACTACAGGCCTATTAGTCTCTCGTCGTTTCTATTGAAAACGCTAGAGAGATTAATAGACATAGAGATCAGATCTCTAATACCCCTGACCTCTTTAAGCACTGCTCAGCACGCCTATATGAAAGGCAAATCTGTTGAGTCAGCGCAGCACGACGTCGTGGGTTATATAGAGAAGAACCTGAACAGCTCATGTTTCACGTTGGCGGCCTTCCTCGATATCGAGGGGGCCTTCAATAATGTTACATTAGAGGCAATTCACAGTTCTCTCGAAAGACTTAGTGTGCCACCACTTCTCGTCGACTGGATTGATGTTATGCTCAGCAGCAGAATCATCAACTCTAGCATCGGGGAGTGCTCTGTTAGGAAAACGGTCACTAGGGGTACTCCACAAGGAGGCGTTTTGTCACCACTGCTTTGGCTTCTGGTGATAAATAACATTCTACTTGATCTGGAACACAGCGGAACAAAGGTCGTGGCTTACGCCGACGATGTGGTCCTGCTGATTGCTGGGAGATTTCCGCAAACTATTACAGATCTTATGCAGGGAGCTCTGGTTAAACTCTCCAGATGGGCGCGCTGCAATGGTTTAGGCGTGAACCCATCTAAAACTGAGCTCGTACTTTTTACAAGGAGGCGGAAAATACCCGTCCTCTCTCTCCCAATGCTGGATGGTGTAACTCTAAGCCTTTCTTCGGAAGCAAAATATCTCGGTACCATTCTAGACCAGAAGTTAAGCTGGAAAAGGAATATCGAGGAGCGAGCGAAAAAGGGCTTAATTGCACTTTATTCCTGCAAGAACTCCATAGGAAAGAGTTGGGGGCTTAAACCCCATATTATCCGATGGATATATGAGTCAGTCGTCCGACCAATCCTAACCTACGGCGGACTTGTGTGGTGGCATTCCTTACGGAAAACCACCTTCAGCAAGAATATTGACAAAGTACAAAGAGTCGCATCGCTACTAATTACAGGAGCGGTCAGGAGCACGCCACAATCCGCTCTAGACACCCTACTCAACTTAAAGCCTCTAGGCTTATTTGTAGAGGAACTAGCTGCTAGATGTGCCCTGCGACTCAACGAATTGGGACAATGGCGGAGTCAACCCTTCGGGCACTCTGTCATTCTTAAGTATGTGGAAAACGTAAGTAATCAGGCTATAGCTAGTGACTATATACTCCCTAGGCTCAGCTTTGATCTACTTGACATCCGTATACCAAACAGGGATATCTGGTCCCGTGGCACTCCACCTTTCGACGGTATAGCGGTCTATACTGATGGTTCAAAGATGGAAAGTGGAACGGGTGCTGGAGTCTACTGTGAAAGCCTAAGTATCCGAAGATCCTTCAGGCTAAACAGCGATTGCAGCGTTTTTCAGGCAGAAATTTTTGCTGTCAGAATGGCCATAGAACTGTTGAAAAATAGAATTAACGAACGGGATGGACCGGTGACTATATATGTCGATAGTCAAGCGGCCCTAAAAGCTCTAAATTCTTTCACAATCAAGTCTATGACTGTTCTGGAATGCAAGAATGCCCTGGAAAAGTTTAAGTCAGCTGTCAAGCTCTGTTGGGTCCCTGGGCACTGCAACATATCTGGCAATGAATCTGCCGATGAATTGGCCAGACGCGGATCTGAGTCAGTAGATCTAGAGATCGAGAGCTCAGTGAAGCCACCTTTATGCCACTTCTTTCAAGTTCTGCATAAACACTATCTTGGAAGATTTCAACAGAACTGGCTATCTGGAAGGGGATGCATCATCTCCAAAAAGATTTGGCCGGTGAACTCCGAACGGAGATCACGGTCACTCTTGTCCATGACGAAGTTGGACTTGAAGCTTGTGGTGGGCCTAATTACAGGTCATTGCAACATAAAGGCCATGACTTCAAAATGGGGGGGTGACGACACTGAATACTGCAGGCTATGTCAGGACGAGGAAGAAACAGAAACGGTGGAACACTTACTCTGTCATTGTCCTACCCTCATCGGAGTAAGACATAGGCTTCTGGGTAAGCACTTACTGCCTGACCTGTCATACCTCTCCGAAACAGAACCAGCAGTCATTCTTCAATTAGCCAGAAGACTAAAATGGCTAAGGACGACACGTTGATTACACCGTGGACGCAAACCCACTAGCTTCTCTAATTCTTCTAAATCCTATATTCTACACTAACTATCTTTCTTACCTCACTTCCACTTCTTTCTAGACTAGGATGATCACAATGGGCCAATAGGTCTCCGAGTGGAGTGGTTGTTGTTTTTACGCAACCACACATCCTTTAACCTAACCTAAACTTTCCTATGCAAATGATCCTGTTTCTTACAAAGACGCTGTATCTAGATCCGACAGTAAAGAGTGGGTGAAAGCCATGAATGATGAAATCAAGTCGCTACATGACAACCAAACATGGGATCTTGTGGAAATGCCTAAAGGACACAAGTTGATTGATTGTATGTGGGTTTTTAAGGTAAAGAAAACCATTAATGACAAAGCCAAGTACAAGGCCAGATATGTAGCAAAAGGGGTATTCCCAGAAGTACGGAGAAAACTATGATCAAGTGTTTGCGCCCGTGGTAAAGCAAACAACTTTTAGCACTCTATTGGTAGTGGCAAGCTATAAAAATATGAAAGTGAAACACATTGATGTTAAGACAGCTTTCCTCAATGGCGAGATAGATTCTGAAATTTATATAAGACAACCAGAAGGCTTCATTGAAAAGGGCAAAGAAAATTTGGTATGCAAATTAAAAAGAAGCATCTATGGTCTAAAACAATCAGCTCGCTGTTGGAATCTGCGAATTAACAATGTTTTAGTTAATTCTGGATTCAGAAGGGGAAAGCTGATCCGTGCCTTTACGTAAAAGAAAAGAACAATTCAACTGTATATGTCTTAATTTACGTAGACGATATAATTATTGTCAGCGAAAGTAACGAGGAAATTAAAAATGTTGCTAAAAAAATAAAGCAAAATTTTGAAATAACTGAACTAGGTGATATAAAATTATTTTGGGAATTGAAGTTACACGGAACAAAGAAGGAGTTTTCTATTTATGCCAAGAAAATTATATTACTAAGATGTTGCAAGAATTCGGACTATCTGGTGCAAAAACTTCTTCAATTCCAATAGATCCGGGATATTTAAAGGACACTCACACTTAAACAAACACACTTAAAGTCAAATTTGGATCTAAAAGGATATGCTGATGCTGACTGGGCTGACATCTCCAGCCCGAAAATCTACTAGCGGTTTTGTGTTTAAACTTGGTGACGCCATCATAAGCTATTCAAGTAGAAAACAGTCGAACGTAACATTGTCTTCAACAGAAGCAGAGCTAGTAGCGTTAGCGGAAGCATCACAGGAAATGTTATGGATTTATCAATTAATTAATTAATGATTTTAGAATCAAAATAACCAATTCAGTAATGTATGAAGATAACCAAAGTTGCCTCAAAATACTGCAGGAAGATAAAATTAATCCAAGAAGCAAACATATTGATGTAAAATATTACTTTGTTCGTGATTTGCAAAAGTCTAAAAGAATAAGCTACGAATATTGCCCAACAGATAATATGTTAGATGATATTTTCACTAAACCGTTACAAAAAATTAAAGTTTGTAAATTTAGGAATTTAATTGGATTAACTATCTAGCTTTAAATGTTTATATGTATACATGTATTTACGTTAACAATATCTGATACATATCTTGTACTGTATATATATAAATATCTACCTTGTTTAGAAATGTAGTAGGCATTGATATGTATACATGTTTTAAAAAAAATATATATTTTTTTTCATTCCATTCAAGAACTTAAATAAAGCCGTTTGTTTGATATAAAACCGCTGCGTATTTCAAACTTTCCAATAAAACCAAACTTAAACCTCAACTTGTCAAGTAAAAGAGAATGGTTGATGGAATCAAAAGCCTTTGACAAGTCAAGGCCCAATAATAATCCAACATCAGATGAATTAAATACATCTCTAATCATATCAGTAAGATATAATAAGTGTGTGGTCGTACTACATCGTCGCCGAAAACCAAACTGAGAACTACTCAATAGCCTACGATCATCAAGGAAGTCAACAATCGCTTCTTTAATAATATGCTCAACGACTTTTGACATAGCAGGTAGAATGCTAATGGGACGCAGATTTGACAAATCAAATGATTCACCAGTTTTCGGTACAGGAACAACTCGTGCAACCTTCCACGCCCGAGGAAAAGTAGATGTCATAAAAATCGAGTTAACAAAATGCAGGAAATGACAGGAAATATGTTTAAAAAACTTTACTGGCACGCCATCAACCCCCACAACTCCCGACTTAACTTTGTTTAATGACCTTACAACATCAGAATAAAATATGCAATAAAACCGAAAAACATCATCTCCCACATAACCCTCACTACGAAGAGACTGACCACGCTCACCCGCAAAATCGGGATTCCCACTGCAAAAATAATGATTAGCAGCATTGACATCAATTGGTGGAGCTTCATTACCACTACCCAAAACACCAAACGACTTTAGAGATTTCCACAGCTGATTATTATTCATACGACCAAACAAATCATTATAGTACTTACGCCTCTCATTCCTCATCACAGCCTTACAACGATTCCTATACATACAATATATTATCCTATTACCCTCCATAGGTCGCTTGCGCCATTCAAAGTACGCAAGATCTCTAAACATCCGTGCCGATTTCACCACATCAGATTCCAGCCATGCATCATTCCTGGGGTTGACCTTACGAACAGAAACAGGAACGAAAGACAATAGCGTGTTAAACAACGAATCAAGTAGTGAAAGTTGACAATTCACATCAGAAGTGGAATATAAGGGGTTGAAGTCAAAATCGTTTATGAAATTTTAAATGCCCAACCAATCCGCTCGACCAAAGATTCGATACTCAATAAATCTCTACTCTGAAAATACAGGCAGGTTAAGCAAACCAAAAACAAAGGCATTGTGTGATATACCAGGACATCGACCCTGAGACGAGAAACCCAACGACAAATTATCACTCATGAGGCAAAAATCAATTAATGAGGTAGAGATATGGGCCAAATCATAATAGGTAGGTTTCATGTTATGCACAGTAGTTAGCCCCAATGATCTGCACAATCCTCTCATCGAAACAGAGTTCGAAGTCACAAATAAATTACAGTTAAAATCACCAATGATATTAGAGAAGCGATCAAACAAACTCTCATGTACGTCACAGAAAGACTGGACATCGCCATGGGGAAGATATACTACCGCCACAAGCAAAACAAATTCCCCAATATTCAACTCAACACACACCGACTCACAAACACCAAAATTATTTGAACGAAAAACTACCTTATAAGGAATGCCACTACCAATATAGAGACATACCCCACCACCAACACGATCACTATGCACCAGCTTATATCCTGGAACAACCAACGATTTCGATGAGACTGCAGAATTAAGCCAAGATTCAGTGACACCAAAAATGCTGATACCACTACCAACCAGTAAGGATCGAAGCTCATCGATTTTATTATTGAATCTCGATGGGCGAATACTTTGGCAGTTCAAGTGGCCATACGTTTGTTTACCAGACAAACCCTCAAATAAGGGTTTAAAAAAGTGAGCATCATTAATTATGGGACCCAGATTATCATCAAGTGACATCAAACCAAATAAAGGGGCTGGGGAGCAAAATGTAAAATTCGATTTCGCATCTTATACTAAAAACTGAAAAAAATAAATATATAAATAATAATAAAAAATAAATATATGAAAGATTATTTAGAACAATTAAGCAAGAATTTACATCAAGAAAACAATTAAATTGCTAATGAGATCAAAACAAAATTAATAATTACATTACATGACTACACTCCCAAGGCAGGACCCAGCAGCATATCACCAACCAACAGAGCACCATCCGGCTGCAGAGGACAACTACGAGCAAATTCAAGAAGCTCTTGAAAAAATTGTTTTACTTCCATCAGCAAGTATCACCTCAACTTGAGGTTCATCACTATTTAACAACCTGAATTTCTTAATCTTCTTCTTCTTGAGCAGGCCTCTACAGGCAAAGACAAGACTAGGTGCCGATTTAACAAGATGATCATTTAAGTAGATACGGGACTCCAATAGACAATTCTCCATAACTTCTTTTAAGATTACCTTCCCTCTTTTAACAAAATGGCGGATAAGGGAATCTCTTGTCTGAATAGAATTAAACTTCACCAAAACCGCTCTACGTTCAGATATGTAACAGCACTGCTGCCAATTAAACCTTATATTAGTAATGTTCCATTGAAATTGATATACCTAGATTCATGAGGATTCAGGATTCGAATTTTGCGGAAAACTTTTTTTTTTTTGTTCTACGATACCGGATTGACCCGAAATAACAACAACATTCCAGTTTCGGTCAGCGGCATCCAACCCAGTATGTACATGTTTGTATTTGTCTATTTTTCTGCATTGGGAGCAGAATATCCCAGAATGCTTGCTCCGGATTTTATTTGTTTTTATTTTATTCTTTTAACAAAATGGCGGATAAGGGAATCTCTTGTCTGAATAGAATTAAACTTCACCAAAACCGTTCTACGTTCAGATATGTAACAGCACTGCTGCCAATTAAACCTTATGTTAGTAATGTTCCATTGAAATTGATATACCTAGATTCATGAGGATTCAGGATTCGAATTTTGCGGAAAACTTTTTTTTTGGTTCTACGATACCGGATTGACCCGAAATAACAACAACATTCCAGTTTCGGTCAGCGGCATCCAACCCAGTATGTACATGTTTGTGTTTGTCTATTTTTCTGCATTGGGAGCAGAATATCCCAGAATGCTTGCTCCGGATTTTATTTGTTCGTGTGGTGATTAAAGAAAACCCCGGACCTTGTCAGAAGGTCATCCACCACATTTAGAAAATGGGTCCACTTTAAGAACTGTTCCGGACTAAGGCGTTTGGGAGATGTGCTGCAGTAGCGTAGTCCCCTGCGAGTCCGCTTGTTGCTGTTCCAACTCTGGATTGTGAATCGTTCTTGCAATTCAATTGTAACGGACTCCAAACAAAATAGATGAGATAGTGGAAAATTGCCGCCTACAACGTTGTTATGGCCACAATGTACTGAGGAAGCATCGCACCAGAAGTGGTGGTGGGGGATCGGCGTTCCTGTTACACCATTCTGTTCAGTACAGATCTATCTCGCTTCAGCTAGACTCTAGTGACCCATACATGGAATGTATGGGAGTAGCAGTCAAATGTGGAACTGCCGAGGTGGAGGTGCCTAATGTGTATATCCCGCCGATTGAGTTGTGACATTCCATCCTAGGTAATGACCAGAGGGGATCAGCACTGGCAGAGCATATTGACTGCTCAACATTTTGCACGGTAAACGAGGATGCCCCCACCCGAATAAGAGTGTCACAGTTCACCAGACTTAACCATAGTGTCACCCAGTCTGAAAAATGACGTGACTTGGCAACCCGTCATTTCTCTTGGCTCAGACCATTTCCGAATATTCGTCTCCATAAGCAAGCCGCCCGATTTCATAACCTCTGAACGCCGCACATTCCTTAACCATGGGAAAGCTCACTGGCCAGAGTTCAGATATTTCACACCAATCAGAGAACTGCCCAACCCTTGTGATGTTCGGGTAGCAGAAAGGATTTTCCAAAACATCATCAAAGCTGCAGACGCTCTATATACTTGCTGATCGAATACTCGAGATAAGACCAAACTTCCCACCAGAGGCAGCGGGATTAGCAAATGAGCGTGATTATCTCCGTCGTACCAACCCCACTGATCTTGGAATCAGTGATTTGACAGTGGAAGTCAAACGGTTGGTACGGGAGCATATGGGGAAAATGTGGTTAGACCATCTGAATTGTTGGAACATTGAAACCGACATGTGTAAGCTATGAGTAACGGTGACTGATCCGAAGAGGTGCTCTGAGTATTTTAACCTACATGTACTACTGCTACAACAACAACCAAACACACCATCGATGACGTGAGAATGTTATAAACGGAACATCAGTACCACAAAAGACAAGATATTTAAAATAAAAGGATAATTAGTATTGAAACCTGCTGTGATATTGTTAATATGTTGTATTTTATTATTAAATTTGTATTTTTTTATTAAATCCGTAATGAAACTCAAGAGTTTTGAAATATTGGAATAAGAATAAATAATTAAAATTTGAATGATTAAATTTGTCGCGACTGATGTCAATGTATACCCCAGTCTCGACGAAATTGTTTTTAAATTGTTTCCAATAAAGCTTTTCGTTTGAAAATAATGAATCATGTTCTGAATGCATGTATTAATCCCATCATAATTTTCAGTCTTCCCAAATTTTTTAAAAATTTTATTAAATATTTCTATTTTGAATTTTTAATGTCATAATTTATGCTTTCATTTGTTAGGGATGGCACACATTTCATCTTAGTTCTGAGAGTGATTAGAATGGAACAAAGAACACAAATCTTCGTTCGCTCAGCAAATTTTGTGTGGGGAATTAAGTAGATATTTCTTAATTGTCTAAATTGTCAACATTTTCTTTATGCATGAAGTTATGTAGTTAGACAATAATCGTCAAAATAATAACCATATTTATAAAACCAAAAAATTAAGAAACAATAAAAATTTAATCTTCAAAAACCTGTATGAAAAGAGGTAAGTTGTATTTCATTAGAAATGTCTTCGGGGATAACTTCGAAGATCGTGCAAAAAAGGCACAATTAGTTTGAATATTTAACCAGCCAGCCTTTAGATATATAAAGGTAAACGGAATAAAACGGAAAACTCATAACATTCAATATTTAAAGTTTATAATATATCTAAGCGGTAGAGGATTATATTACCGTAAAATGTTCAGCTGTATTGAAGTCTTCATCCAAAAATATGCGGACGACGTCAAAGTTCTGCATTATAGCGGCGTCACATAATTGTTTTACAAATTCTTTGACATGTTGAGTGGATTTTTCGTAAGTTTTCCCTCCTAGTTCCTGTAGATGTAGTGCCAAAAATTGTGGTTTAACTTCACCCACTTTCAAAAAGAACGCTTCCAACCATGGTCGTAACAATCTTAAAGGCTGTGAAAAATATGCAAGCATTAAGTTTTAACTTTTTGCGTTATAAATGGAAATAGCTATTAACATACATCTTCAAATAAACTTCCTACGTTGGCTGTTACAAGGAGTGTATATATTGGCTCATCTGCCTGTATTGAATTTCCCGAAGCAACGTCCATTGCAGCCAATGAGTTGTTGCACACTTTAAACCCAAAACCTCTGTTTTAAACAGAAATAATTATTAATAAGCTGCTGCAACCTTTCCAATTCATTAAATTATTTTGATGTAACTTTTAATCCAATAAGCCTAATTGTCATTTTTGGAGAAGGCGAATACACAATAAAGCGTTGCCACGCATTGATAAAATTGAAAAATGTATAACTCCGGCAACGATAAAATTTTGTTTATACATTAGGGCTCTACCATGGCAGAAGAATATAGATAGTCGCGTCGACACAGCTGCTGGGACAATGAACTGTCAAACCAATTTTGGAATTGAAAATGTTGAATGAAAAATTATTTTAATTTGCAAAAATTTTTGAAAAACGCGAATTATAATAGCCTCCTTCTAACTTAGAATAACACTGCCTTTACACGGTGCAATTTTTAGCTGGCATTTTTATCAATTCTCTTTTAAAATTTCTGCGTAAATCTTCGCGTCTTTACACGGTGGCATTTTACGATAATAGTGCTTGGCATTTTTTTGACATTTTATTTTATTCAGTATTTCGTTTGTAAAAGATATTTATAAAGAAGTGATTTAAAATTAAATTTGTGAATCTAATGAAGAAATGATGGAAAAAGTTATTGAGGTGTTAAATATTGCATTATTAACTTTTTTTAACTTTCTTTTTTTACTTTTTAATACTTCCAATTAATTTTCATATAATTCACTATACAATTCAATCACTAAAAACATCACAATAAAAGAAACGCATCAAAAATTACAATAAAGAAACGATATGAAATGTCAAAATCATAAAAAATTCGGAAGAAGCAAAAGGAGAAATGCAAAGAAAATGGCATGTAACCCTGTGCGGTGGCTTTTCGTGCCATTTTTTCTTCTATCCTTGTCTCTCTACACCTTTTACCAACAAAAAAAATGGCATGGTTAAAAAATGTCACCGTGTAAAGGCAGTGCAAGAAAACAGATAAAAATCTACTTATATTTTAAAAAACATTTCAATTTTTTTGACATATCAATGCTCCCACGCGTTGATGCATCTACCTGTATTCTTCTGCCATGGGCTCTACTTCAATTGTTGCGTATATAATAACTCATCACTCTCACATAACGAGCCAGTAGTAGGAATGTGAGGGCTAAAACAGTAGTGCGATTCTCCAGCTCATTTTTTGAGTTACCGATAAAAATCGGTGACTTTGAACATAGACAAATGACGATATAGACAAGAAAAAGTTAGTTTTATCCAGATTGCTGTTTTGTATAGTCAACATGCTGATTTACGCGTTCAACCCACTCGACTTCGAAACACACATTTTATCGGTTTCAAGACTTTCACTGGAATGTCACTACATAGCTGTCACTTATCTTTTATTATGGACCAATTTTTAACTGACAAATATCCTACAGTTTTTGTTTTTTTTTAACGTTTTAGAATTAAGTGACTTCAATATTTTCACTCAAACCTCTGAAACGATATAGACAACATCTACTGATCCGATTTTTTTTCGAAAATAAACGGTGAGAGCGTTTCGTTTTCTATGTCTTCATTTGCCTATGCTTTGAAACCCAAAAACGAAATAATTACAGCTCATGTTCGTTCATTCAAACTCCTTTGAAACAACTCTAGTTTAGTAAAAACTCATTGATTTTTCGAAATTTCTTTCCAGGGGTAGGTATTTTTACATTGATTCCGGAAAACTATTTTTTTCTTAGAGGACGGACCTGGGACCTCAGATTTTTGACCCGAAATTCCGGGCTAGGCCTGGATCCACTTACCCAATATAGGCCATATATGGTAGGAAGGCACAAACAAAAACAGATGCCTTTTGTAATGACACCCCAGTTTTGCCACATTCATTGTGACAAAATTATTGTAATACATTAAAATCGGTGGGGTGTTGATGAATTTTTGATAAATACACCCTTTCTGCCTGGGTATGCTAAGCCAGGACTTAATCAGAAAGCCTAGAATTGATGGGGAACACAATTCTCCACCCTCGATCAGAAAATCCACATTCCGTTCTTCCGTTCTCTTTAGGAATAGAAAAAAAAGGAACGACGCGAGTTAAGTATAATGACCCCATAGATATTTTTTTAAAAGAAATAAACAAATAAACTCCAACTTTTGTAAAGTTGTTGCATGAGCATTTTTATAAGGTCAATCACTTTTGTTAATTAACTTTCAATATTAATTTTGCTAACATTGCATTTTTATCAGTATATTAACATTTATGGCATTACAGCCAATCAAAATGCATTCTTATTATAATTTGCCAATTCTGCATTAAATGATAGTCTACTAAATTTAGGGCATATTAATCAATCGAAAACTCATTTTTTATAAACTGCTAATTTTGCAATAAATGATGGTTTACTAAAAATTAAGGTTATTAGCCAATTAGAATAAACTAAATAATAAAAATGATTACACAACAGCTAAGAAGAATATTATAAATATCAATGTAAAATTCGATTTAAGGGAGTCAGTGTTTAATTCCCGATCTATATTCAAATAAACGGTTTGTAAAAGTAAATGAAAAACAAATAAACTTTTTTAATAAGTGAACTAAGTGAAATATAAAAGTGGCGCAGTCGGTAGGGTCCTTATAAAAATAAGGATGCAGTGAAACGAACTTAAATGTGAAGTGTATATTATAGTTGCTCATGTGAAAATTAAAATTACAAAAAGTAATAGTGAAGTGATCTGTGACAATTTACGAAGAAATACATATTAATGACATATTAAGAATACTAACAAAAAGACGTTTTGAGGATACATTCATAAGGGATGAATATAGAAAAAATAAATGTAATAAATATAATAACAATAATAGTCCTCATAAAAATAAAAATGAGAGAAACAATTATAATCAAGTAGAGGACAAGGAAATAATTTTAACAGAAATAATAATTTTCATTAAAAAATAACACCTAAAAATTTGTACGTACAACCTGATGCTAGGAACACAATTGAAGCGAACGACGAATTTTTCGCGGCGTATGTTCGTCGTCAAAAATAAAAAACATATGCTAGGAACACAATTGGAGCGAACGACGAATTTTTTCGCGGCGTATGTTCGTCGTCAAAAATAAAACACATATGTGTATATGGAAGTGCACACAATCACGGCACCGGCGAAAATTTCGTCGGTCGCCGCGAACTCAATTAGCTTTATTTCTATTTCATACGCCGGCGACCGGCGAACAAAACAGTACAAGGTGGCCATACTTGTACGAATTTTATGTGTTTTAGTAAATAAAGTTACTTTTTACTTTAAAATTTGTTATGGTCACTCTACTATCTGTTACTCGTATAAAAAAAACATGATTAATTTGTTTATTTATTTGTGTACTTGCGCCTAAGTGAAGATGGATATCAGTGAATTTATAATAGAGAAGATGGACATAAGTGAAATTATAATAGAGAACGTAAAGAATTATGTGTTCTTGTATAATTCATTGTAGTCAACAAATGAGCAAAAAGTAAACAACTTCATCAGCTGTTTTATAATTTCGTCGGTATTGTGTTCCATACGACGAATTTTCGCGGCTCATTTTGTCGCCGCGTAGGGCGAAATTCGTCGTTCGCTCCAATTGTGTTCCTAGCAATATGTGTATATGGAAATGCACACAATCACGGCGCCGGTGAAAATTTCGTCGGACGCCGCGAACTCAATTAGCTTTATTTCTATTTCATACGCCGGCGAACGGCGAACACAGTACAAGGTGGCCATATTTGTACGAATTTTATGTGTTTTAGTAAAAAAAGTTACTTTTTACTTTAAAATTTGTTATGGTCACTCTACCATCTGTTACTCGTATAAAGAAAACATAATTAATTTGTTTTTATAAAAACAACGTTTGTTTATTAGTGGAGAACGATGGTAATGTTTACCAGGGGGTAAGGCAGGGAATACCTAGGTTTCGGAAAGAGCCACCAATCCTCATCAGTTCCCTTGTTATTTGTCTGGGATATTCTCCCCAGAAGTTATTTTAAAAATAACTTCTATGACAAAAAACATGTTTTTACCCAAGTGACGAGATCGTAAGCTCAATAGAAGAGGAACCAAAGAATTAAATAAAACTAAAATTCTTTTGGAAAGTCTTCTAAATCTTACAACCAACAACAACAACAAAGAGGAACTAGCTGCTAGGTGTGCCCTGCGACTCAACGAATTGGGACAATGGCGGAGTCAACCCTTCGGGCACTCTGTCATTCTTAAGTATGTGGAAAACGTAAGTAATCAGGCTATAGCTAGTGACTATATACTCCCTAGGCACAGCTTTGATCTACTTGACATCCGCATACCAAACAGGGATATCTGGTCCCGTGGCACGCCACCTTTCGACGGTATAGCTGTCTATACTGATGGTTCAAAGATGGAAAGTGGAACGGGTGCTGGAGTCTACTGTGAAAGCCTAAGTATCCGAAGATCCTTCAGGCTAAACAGCGATTGCAGCGTTTTTCAGGCAGAAATATTTGCTGTCAGAATGGCCATAGAACTGCTGAATAATAGAATTAACGAACTGGATGGACCGGTGACTATATATGTCGATAGTCAAGCGGCCCTAAAAGCTCTAAATTCTTTCACAATCAAGTCTATGGCTGTTCTGGAGTGCAAGAATGCCCTGGAAAAGTTTAAGTCAGTTGTCAAGCTCTGTTGGGTCCCTGGACACTGCAACATATCTGGCAATGAATCTGCCGATGAATTGGCCAGACGCGGATCTGAGTCAGTAGATCTAGAGATCGAGAGCTCAGTGAAGCCACCTTTATGCCACTTCTTTCAAGTTCTGCATAAACACTATCTTGGAAGATTTGAACAGAACTGGCTATCTGGAAGGGGATGCATCATCTCCAAAAAGATTTGGCCGGTGAACTCCGAACGGAGATCACGGTCACTCTTGTCCATGACGAAGTTGGACTTGAAGCCTGTGGTGGGCCTAATTACAGGTCATTGCAACATAAAGGCCATGACTTCAAAATGGGGGGGTGACGACACTGAATACTGCAGGCTATGTCAGGACGAGGAAGAAACAGAAACGGTGGAACACTTACTCTGTCATTGTCCTACCCTTATCGGAGTGAGACATAGGCTTCTGGGTAAGCGCTTACTGCCTGACCTGTCATGCCTCTCCGAAACAGAACCAGCAGTCATTCTTCAATTAGCCAGAAGACT